CATTGATGGCAGCCATGCATCCAAAGAGCAATAGACGAAGCGCCTCACAAGCGGCTTCCTTCTCTCCACAGACTTCTCTTAGAATGATGTATCATGATAGCGTTTCTCTCCACTATTGTCTCACGGACCTCTCCCATTCCAGTAGGCTCTCTAGCCTACTAGGCTCACTAGCCTAAGTCAAACATTACTAGGCTCACTAGTAGCCTAGCTCACAGTCACACTCAATCTTAGCCTTCGATATCCTCATCTACGGCTAACACTTACGGCCGCTCTCAACCGCCTAACCTCCAAACCGCTTAACGGTTTAACCGTCTAACCGCCATGCACCACGCCGGCGCTCACTAGTTCTAAACCTAACTAGGGCCGAACCCTAATCACACATTAATTCGGTTGACTATAATCACCGAATTCTGACACAATTTAGCCTAAGCTCATGTAGAAGGAGCAAAAGGAAGGAGAGCTAAGAGCTCCGGAGGAGAAGGAGAAGGAGAGTATGGGTAAGGCATCTGTTGCCAACCGGGAACGATTGAGACCGTTAACAAGGGGTCAAGTGAGCGGGGAGGTTTAACAGCAGGGGCGAGGCGTGAAGGCGGTCTCGATCCGAGGACGTGCTATGCTTGCGCAGAGAAGGGCCACATTCGGGCCCATTGCCGGAACCGGAACGTGGAGACCTTCAATTGTGGGGAAAGGGGCCATATAAACTCGGTGTGTAGGAAGCTTCGAGGTGGTGCAACGAGCGGTAGTGAGGACCGCCTGCAGCGGAAGGAGTTTGTCGGTGTGGCGTTTACGGCGTGGCGCAAAGAGGCGCGGGTGCCGGCGGATGTGTGGCTTGTTGACTCGAGAAGCACTCAACACATTACGCCGGATAAGAGGCACTTTGCATGCTACGAACGGGTTGCGCGTGCGCACAAAATTGAGGGGCTTGGAGGAGAAGCCTTGATGGCGGTGGGGATTGGGAAGTTGTCTTGGAGTGTGAGACGCCAAACGGAGCGGGCAAGGTGACCTTAAACGACGTTTGGCACGTTCCGGGAGCCAGAGCAAACTTGTTCGCAATGCGGCGAGCAACAGACGCGGGCGTAAGGATCTCCTTTGAAAAGGGGATTGCCCGATTTGAGATGGGAGGCGGTGGGAGCACGGATGCGGTGCAACACGGCGGATTGTGGAAGATTGCAACGTTTAACAAGGCAAGAGCGTTCTTGGCGGTCAAGGGGCCAGTCAAGACGGAGCGCTGGTTTGGGAAGATGGCACCGAAACCGAAAGTGAGAGTGGAGCGGAGGTGAGGCCGGTCAAGGTCATTGAGGTTGACCTTGAGTCGGACGATGAGTCGGACGACGGGGTGAAGGAGACCCAACGGGTGGATGTGAGCGTCAGAGAAACGGAGTCTCCACCAGAGAAAAAGACAAAAAAGCACGGCGCAATGGAAGCCGTGGGAGCGGCAATGGAAACCATGGGAGCAACCGCAGCGGAAGCGTAAGAGCACGGATCAACCGGATTCTGGACAAGGTTGAAAGCGGGAAAATGATGTCGCCGGGGACGGGCGACAAACGGTATCCAGAGAGGGCACGTGCGGCATCAGGAAAGTTTTGGGAAAGCAAGACGGGTTGGGTAACACTTGAAGATCTAAGAAGCGAGCAAGGAGAAATGGCTAGATGTGAGTGGGACCGTTTGTCTGCGTGGGAGTGTTGAGATCAAGGTTGGTTTACGGCCAAATTGTGGACATTAAGGACAAAGAGAATAACTACTTGTAAGATTGAGATGAAAGAGAGTGAGGGCTTGACGCATTAAGATGAAAGAAGTTGAAGGCTTGGCACATTAAGAGAGAAGGTATTAAGGTCGGCAGATTAAGATGAAAAGGATTTAGTGCTTGAAAGATTAAGATATCAAGGAGCTGAGTGCTTGGCAGATCAAGATAAAAGAAGTTGAGTGCTTGATGGATTAAGATGAAAGGGACCATGTGTACTTGGCACGTTAAGATCAAATAGCCAACGTAGTTGGCAGATTGAGACCAAACAGATTTGGAGGAAGTTGGGAGATTCAAGAAAAAGGTAGATGCAAGAGATCAAGACCCGATTTGTGTGGACTGTTCGATGGGAGTTGGTTGGACTGAGTGAAAGCTAGGCCGTCGATCAGAGTATCCACGTATCTAAGGGTTATGATAGACTTGGACTAAATTGGAGTAGACCTGGCTACGATATTGGACTTGACTTGAACCATTATCATGTGATTGTACTCATACTAAGAAATGCTTGGAGAGACTTAAGCGCTTTTTTTGTGAAGGCGCTTGTGTGTGAGGGTGGTTGAATTCCTCGTAGGTTCCAAGCATGAGCGTGAACCAAACACGGCTATCTTCTTTGCCTTCTTCCTGCAAAAGAAGATAGCAAAGAACTTCAGCATAAGAGTTTGGGTGGCAAAATGAAAGATCTTAAAACTTAACAAATTTGAGGTACCGATCCACGCATTGAACAGCATTTGACTCCCGTGTTTGAAAAAAGCATCCTGCGCTGGTTTTTTAGCCTCAAAAGTTGCTTCCTTTCAGCTGTTGTACGCTCGGACGGGATTCAAGCAATTAAAAGGTCAGCATATGCCTAGCGTGTAGAATCCTTTAGTAGCGCACCTTAGAGCTGCATATGGTAGGTTGAAAACAATTTTATTACTTCAACAATTTTGCATCAATCAAAATTCGCGAAAGCTAGCAAGATGAAGCCTATAAGAAAGTTTATAGCATCGGTTTCTTGCTTCCAAGAGCCCACGAATTAGAGAATATGCTCTTTGATGCATCTGTTTCCAAATTCAACCAACAAGATGGCTTTTCTATTGTGCTTTCTCCATGGATAATGTGTATTCTCATGGAAACCAGCAGACACTTCGGCCATATATTCCATAAGGGAAAGCCCGCATGTGATTTCACATTCATTGTTTTTGATGAGATTTACGAGCGTAGGCGAATGGAATCCAATACTTGAAATAGAGAAGCGCTGATTGGATATTGATTGGGCTCCGGAAACGTCGATTGTTGTTCGACGGTAATCTGGAGTTATGGCCTATGGGAACATCCGAATGACTTCTTGCGATAACCGTTGATCGGAAAGAGGTTCGATAACAGCCGTCGGTATGCGGTATAGAGTGAAATTTCAAAGTTAGTAGTGACGCTCTACTGAGCCTACTAGGCTAGTAGTGTACATCTAAACATAGGCCATGAATCGGAACACTCTATATACATTGTGTGAACTTGATTGATTCAACACCATATCCAACAAAGCTGTGTTTCAACAGGTTAATTGCCCACGGCGCTAGGGAGGAAGGATCGGCCAAGAAAGCTCTGTGTCGCGACTACGTTGGCACAGAAGCGGTTTCTTTCACTCTAGCCATTGAATAGGCAACACGTGAGTTCGGCAAGGCAGGAAACCACGTTCCGTCCTGGGAAGAAGCGGCACAATGAGGTAGAAATCAGCCTTTTCTTCTCTCTTGTCAATAAAGGCATCGGTGGGGGCTGTCTGCTTCATGACGGGTGCTCTTTGAGCCAAGTGAATTTTGAATGCAGGATCAAGTGGCATGAAAAGCCTAAAAGAAAAGTTACCACCTTTGGTCCTGTAAAAGAGAGAAAGGGAAAGCAAATCCTAAAATTGCTGACGAGTTTAAAGTCCACATAGAGAAGCTTGGTATAGACAACCACAGCAAATGGAGTTGCAGGATCAAATTCTTGTTGACGTCCAAGGAACTATGCGTCGCAGTGAGGGATCCCAAGGGGCACGCATCGCAATCAACAAAAGGGTTGTCCATCATCGGGCTAAACGTTGAGGACCAGCATGTAGCAACGATTTGTTGTAAGTACGGACCCTGCTGACGTCACGCCGACGTCACAAGTCCCGTACTTCAACCAAGCGCGCTACCAACTGAACTACACTCGTACTTACAACAAATCGTTGAGGCGTGCAAGACCGCAAAGGAGGCTTGGGATCTCCTTAAGACGACCTACAAAAGAATCCAGTGCAAGGAAGTTGCAGCTCAGGCAAGAGTTGCATTTCCAAAATTATGTAAAGTCGGATGAGCCCGTGACCATGTACGTGGCTCGGGCAAACGATTTGTGTCAGGACTTGACAGTTATCATTTTTCAATTGAAGCCGGAAGAATTACCTTGGAGCGTGCTCGCGGGGCTGTCGACCTCATGCAATACCTTGAGAACAATCCTAGAGGCTCCAGAGAGGGCGTTGAGCTCGGGAAGAATCGAGATTCTGCCCCAAGCTCATGGTCCATGACCAAAGATATTACCTGCCCAAGGATGAGGGCGGTGGTGGCTCGGACTCCGTTGTGGCTTATGCAGCTCAGCGGAAAGGGAACAAGGAGAAGGCCACGGCAAGGATGAAAACCGGAGCAAGGGGCCTACGTGCTACAATTGTGGAAAGTTGGGTCATATGCCTGGAAGTGCAGTGCTCAAGCCAAATAGGCGGGAGTTCAAACCGGAGCGAAGAGCGTTGGGAAACCTTCAAAAAGAAATAAAGCAAATCTACGTGGTTGACAAGGCAAAGACGGACAAGTGTTTCTCCGTGAGGAAGCCGGAGACAGCGAGCTATGGCACCGTCGGATGGGACACGCCGCGTATGGGGACCCGGCAAAGATGGTGCAAGGGAACGTCGTTGACGGTGTGGATGTGAAGCCGAGTGCGTTCAAGGTGCTCAAAAGTTTGGTGTGTGAGCCCTTCATCATGGGAAAGCAAACGCAACAACCGTTACCGGACTCGGAGTCGTTGAGCTCGGAGCCTCTTGAGCTAGTCCATATGGACGTCGGCAGGTCGATGCCGGTGCCTTCCATGGGGGGCAGTACTTTGCCACGTTTCTTGACGGCTACAACAAGCTCTCGGTTGTAGTCTCCATGAAGCAGAAGAGCGATGTGGCCAAGGTGACAGAGCACGTTATCAACCGGTTAGAGTTGCAATTGAACAAGAAACTCAAGTCGGTGCGGACGCATTGGGAGAAGCAGTACGTCAACAAAGTCCTCAAGTACGTCTTCGGGGGCAAGAGGACGGTGCACGAGAAGACAACCCCCTACACAGCCGAGCAAAACGGGTCGGCAGAGCGGCTGAATCGGCACGTAGAGAAGAAACTCTGGGCGATCATCGGATGCTCGAGGACTCGAGCTGCCTAAACAATTGTGGGCGGAGGCCGTAGTGACAGTGGAACTTCCGGAGCCCTATAAGAGCGCACGGAATCAACCCCTTGGGAGGCGTTCTTCGGCAAGATGCCGAAAGCGGCATGCGGGTGTTTTGCGCCCCGGGGTTTGCAAAGCAACGAAGACGGAATTGGACCCGTTCAACAAACGAGGAGTATTCGTGGGGTATGAGCCGGGCTTCAAAGTGTACCGAGTAATTCGGGAGAAGCGATGGAAAGCTATCATTCGCCGGGACGTCATTTTTGACGAGGGAGCGAACGAAGAAGGGGTTGTCGAGCTTACTCCGACATCAAGGAGAATTCGCCCACTGCGGAGGGTGGCGCACAAGATCCGGTGGTGGTTAAAAAGGGGCCTTTATCGGATATGCCGCGCAAGGACCCTCCGTTGCGGGTTAGTCCGCCAGATCCAAAAACCGGCCAATTTGGGGAGGTTTCGGATCTTGAGCGCCAAGCTAAGGCGGCGCCAGGAGAGATAGTGGTGGACCTAGGGATTCAACCACCGGTTGCCCACAGGACCCCACCCGCGCTAGGCGGGCATCGAGGGAGTGGCACCCGGCCAACCTGGCGGCGGACGCTAAGCAGAGGAGCACCCCAAAGGGACGAAGGAGCATTCGGAAACACGCAGAGCTAGCAGGAAGCCTTAGGGGGGGAATAGAGTGACATTGAACGGAAGTCCGTGGACGAGGAGATGCATATCCTGTTGAAGAACGGGACGTGGGAGATCGTCGAAGAATCGGAAGGGGGTCAAGCCGTGTCCCGTAAAGTGGGTTTACAAGATCAAGCGGGACCCTCATGGAAGGTGGAGCGGTACAAGTCCCGGCTGGTGGCCATAGGTTATCTGTAGAAGCCGCGGACTAACTTCTACGAGTTCTACGCCCCGGTGAGCAAGCAAACGACGTTGCGTGCGCAGCTGGCGGTGGTCGCGAAGCGCGATGTGGAGCTGCAATAGCTTGACGTCAAGACTGCGTTCCTTAAAGGGGAGTTGGATAAGGAAATCTACATGCAGCAGCCGCAGGAATACGAGCAGGGCGGGCCCGAGGTGGTCTGCCGCCTCAAGCGCGCCTTGTACAGGTTGCGCTAGGCGCCGCGTGCATGGCACATGCGCTTGAAAGAGGAGCTCGGGATCTTTGAGTTCGTGCCGTCCATGGCGGACGCAGCGCTTTTCACCTCGATCATAGCGAATGAGCGGGTCTATCTCGTGGTTGGGTGGACGACATCTTCTTAGAAGCTCAAAGAACGGAACGCATTGCGAAGGTGAAGGTGCCCTTGGCGGAGACATTTGACGTGCGCAATTTTAGGGAGGCGACGTACTTTCTCGAGATGAGTTGAAGCGCGACAGAAAGCCGCGCATCCTGAAGTTGACGCAAAAAGTCCTGAAGGGGGAGCTGGTCGGAAGTTACGGACTGGCGGACGCGTGGGCGCATAGCGTTCCTCTTGGAACGGAAGACAACTTAACTTGGAACGGTAAATTCTCCTTGACACAAAGCGGTTTCCGTACAGCGAGTGTGTGGGAAGCCTATTATACTGAGTGATGTGCACCAAGCTTGACATCGTACAGGCGGTCTGTGGTCGCGCTTGCCCGGTACATGGCGGGGCCGACGGAGGCGCACTGGTGGGCGGCGCTTGTAGTGGTGCTACCCGGCAAGGACGCCAAAAAACGGGGTGACCTACCGACGAATACCTACACAAGGCACCTATGGGGCATTCAGGCCCGTGACACACTGGTCACGGATTTGTCAGACCGTCGTGGTCGCGTAGGTAATATTGGCGTGCCAACGGAGCCTACGATTTCTTTGGAACCAGACCTGCGATTCTAAAGCCGGCGCTCTTGAATGGATTCTACACCTGTGCCCGGTAGATGAGATTATATCTATTCATGGGTCTTTGATCGATGCACTAAAAATAGTTCAGCGCCTAGGTTGAATCGCATTTTCTACCATGTACCCAACACTCCATTTGACCGTACGGATCCGACATGGAAACGTGCGGCGCGTGGCTGTTGACATCAACCTCAATGATAGACAATAGTCGTTTTGCGGAGATCCTACGGTGAATGTCAAACTTATTCACGATCCGATGGCAACACACAAATTGAAATGTCCACCATACGGCCCGGGTGCGGTACAGACTCAGTGCAGTGCACACTGCACATTGCGGTACCTACATATTGAGTACCGTTCTAGACCATAAACCGCGACTCAAATAACAACCGACCATGAGGAGCTTACAGAGTGTCGCGCTTTGATTGTCTCCGCCGCCATTCCTCAAGTTCAAACTTTGAGCATAAAGAACTTTCAGCTCATTATTCTGCTATGATCTCTTTTGCATATATCCTTGTTGTGTTTTAGTAGATGGTCCAGCATTTTAGAGCATGTGTATCGGTCAAGAATTGAGTAAGATATGTGTTCCTAGGTGCCTTGCTCATTTTCGGGTTTTAAAGTGTAAAATGTGACCAAGTGCTTGCGTAGCTGACACTGAAATCAAAAGTGTGGACACACGGTCACTTTGCCGCGATCGATCGGTCAAGGGCCGTGACACGGATGCCCAACAATCGACGTGAACCGCGTCACCGGTACCAACGGTACTCTGACGAGTACTGACCGGTTCGACAGTGAACCGTAACAGCCGGTTTTGCACCCTAGGTGGCTTGTGTAGTAGCTACTACGCACCCAAGATTTCCTAAACTGATAACTGAGCGCGTAATCAACGTGCTGGACTATTAGTGATAGGAAACAATTTGAGGTTTTGAAAATGGATCGCTCAGGAAAAAGTAACTTGACAAGTATCTATATGCTGCATAAGGATGGCCCATTGGTATGGTAGTGCAATAATTTTAGAGCCGAGGACTGACGTCAGAATGACTTTATTAGGGTTCCGACCACAGTGTACCGAAATTATTCCACCCCAATAACGCTTCGGCACACTTTGCACAAATTTCTTTGAGAACTCTCGACATCCTTTTAAACGGTTGACTCACTTCGGTTGGCACTCAAAATCCGGACGATTCCATGCCAAACATTGATACTCTGTTCTAACGCTCATCTAAATTGGTTCAATTCGAACCAATTCGGACCCACCTCAAAGCGCAGCCGAGTGTCGATATTGGCTTTAAACCTGGTTTTCAAACTCGCGAATTGTACCGTCGAAAGCGGACCTTAACTGCGAACCGAACGGCTACGAATCCACGTAGGATAACGGGGCATAATTAGCCAAGATTTCCAAGTATATTCAGCACTCCCTGACGCATTATGTACCCTACGCGATCCCCATCTCTTTATATGCACTCTGCAAAATCTTCGGGTGCCAACGCCTTGGTAAAATATCCTCCTTCAGGTCCTCCGCCAGTGTAACTCAAACAAATACAAACTCCTCCTGCGACACCCACTTCCGCGCAAGGTGATGGATCACTTCGATGTAATTCGATTGCTGCAAAGCGATTGGATGAGTAAGAAGCCGTAATGCCCCTTGATTGCCGCAATCGATTTTGACCGTTTCGAAGCCCAACCCCAAGTCTCTCCCCAATTTGCGAAACCACGACGCCTTCTTCAACGCTAATCCCGACTCATTTACTCCCTCTGTTGAAACACAGCGTTGTTGAAAGTGATATTCAATCAATCAATTTCACACAATGTATATGGAGTGTTCCAAGTCACGGCCTATCTCTAGGTCTACACCCTAGCCTAGTAGGCTCAGTGGACCGTCACCTCGTAAGTCCGAAAATTTCACTCTATATCGTACATCGACGGCTATCATCGAACCTACACAAAATCGACAAGTCATTCGGATGTAACGCTGTAATCGCGCGCGTTCAACCGTTAACCGTAACTACAAGACACCGTCGAATTATCGTCGACGTCGTAATCCTACAATCCTAGGATCACCCAGAGATTCGGTCCCTAAATGCCCCGTTTCTCAACACTCCCCCACACACCAATGACTATATGACTCCTATCAGGCTCTTGCACTTCTTCAACTTCCCCGGTGCCAGCGCTTTGGTCATGATGTCCGCCTTCATGTCCTCCGTCCTGCAGTACGCGAACGCGACCTCCTTGCGTGCCACGCGCTCCCGTGCAAAGTGATGAATCACGTCAACGTGCTTCGACCGCTGCAAAGCGATCGAGTGCTTCAAGAGCCGAATTGCTCCTTGGTTGTCGCAGTAGATCTGGATTGTGCCGACATCCAACCCGAGATCTCCCCCAAGCTTGCGAAACCACAACGCCTCCTTCTCCGGTTGCGCTGCGCTCAAGTACTCCGCCTCTACTGTGAGACCGCCACCGTTGGCTGCAGGCTGCTCGACCAGCTCACCGCCCCCCCCGTACATCAGGAAGACGTACCCCGTCGTGTATTGTCTCGTGTCCACGTCTCCCGCGTAATCTGTGTCACAGTAACCGACGATCGCTCCCCTTGAACTTGGTCACCCCGTCCTCTGCCGTCCCCGTCATGTAGCGCACAACTCCAAGCGCCGCCCGCCAATGTGCCTCCGTTGGCCCCGCCATGTAGCGCGCAAGCGCACCCACCGCCTGTGCAATGTTGGGCCTCGTGCACACGCTCAGGTACAGCAGGCTTCCCACACACTCTGTTGAAACACAGCGTTGTTGGAAGTGATATTCAATCAATCAAGTTCACACAATGTATATGGAGTGTTCCAAGTCACGGCCTATCTCTAGGTCT